CCACGGCTACTCCTGCTCCGCTTGTTCCTGTCTCTCCCCACCTTCTACTCTCCTGTGATTTAAAGAGAGTAGCGTTTTTTTTTTTAATGGTGGTTAAACCCAGTAAGATTATATTCCGTATATCAAATACTATACCCCACAAGGAGGATATGATCTTACTCTATAATGGTTACCATAGTATCCGCAAATAAAATACTACTCAAGCGGGTTTAAGGTTTGGGTTTTACGTAGGCATATTCCTATCACAGTCCTGTGATTCTTGCTATTTCCATTGCCACCCTAACTAAATCCTAAACCGCCTTTGGGATGCCAAGCTTGACAGTTTATATAACCCTAGATTATACCCCCAGTTCGCACTACAAAACCATAAACCTATGTAATCCTAAGTTATATCCCCAGTTCTCACTGTAAAGCCCTAAACCCGCAACCCTAAAGCCTAAACCTCAAACCCTAAATCCTAAACGCTGAACCCTAAACCCTCTACCCTAAACCTCGATTTTTTTGAAAGACCCCATGCCGGGTCGACGCCTGCTCGAGGCGACTCTGCGCCATCATTTCTTCACGCCAGGCCTATGCAAAATGTGGGGGGCCATGACTGTTAATGGTTAAGGGTTCAGTTTTTGTTTTTCAGGTTTAGGGGTTCAGGGTTTAGGGGGCTTACTTGTAGGCTCTTTTGATTTAGTAAATCTACTTTTTAGTAAGAGCAATTTATGGGGCTTCTAGGGCTACGGGGCACGACCAGGGTGTAGGGTTCAGGGGTTGCAGCAGTATGGGGATCCAAGAGTTCGTATTTTAGGAAGCTGCCATGCAATCAATTATCACCTACACCAGCCCAAACCACAGGCTATTCTTCATGCTATACCGTTGCATTTGTATCTGCAGAGAGAGACTGTGGCTGTCACTAATCCCCTTCCCCCCCACGTATTCCCCCTCTATATATACAACCATTTGATATAACGGCGAATATTTGTCACTTAAAGGGGGAGATGGGGGTGATTACAGAGGCAGCACTAACAAATGTTTAGGGGGGAGATCTTCCCTAAACCCTTTTCCTAAACCCAGGAGAATTAGCTGCGCAGGGCCCGGAGCCAAGAGGAAAGCTCTTATGCATGTGTCATGTAGGAGCCTACACGGCTAGAACACGGCTTTGGGGTACATTATACTTGAGCTACCAGTATAATTCTATCAGGATAAGTGGGGAACTTGCTCATGCTTCCGCAATAGGTGCATTCATGTGTCTGCGGAATTATATATTCCTCATTCCATGACGGTTCACGGCATTTCAAACGAACCTGAAAGAGGAACTGGTCCCAAACCTCGAGGGCTTCTCATGAGTCGCAGTCGGCCCAGATGGCGTGCAGCTACTACGCGGGTGTGCAAGAAATCACGCGAGTATGCCAGAGAAACAGGGCGCTGCTAATAAACAATGAGGACTAAAAGCTAATACCTAGGGTATATATTGGATAGGGTTTAGGGCTTGGTTTAGGGTTTAGAATGTAAACTACTATAATGGGTTATATAGAGATTATAGGGTATATTGGGGGTATATCGGGATGATGGAAAAGAAAATGGAAACTACTAGCTGGATGCCCCTAAACCCTAAACCCCTTGCTTCTGTGAAAACAACCAGATCTTGGAACTATCCTTCACAGATTTGTTGTTTACCAGTGGCTGTGCAGTGGATGAGGGAAATCTTGCAGTGTGTTCCACCAGCATTGAAAAAGGCCCTGCCCCTAGACGCTTGTTGACCCAGTACCGAGGCACCAGCCTGAAGGAACTCCGCAGCGTAAGAAGCTTGCAGCTATTCAGCGAGCGTATACAGAAGATGTTCATAACCCCTAGACCCCTAAACCCTAGACCCTAAACCCCAAACCCTAAACCAAGTAGTGCAAGAGTTCCTCCATGGCTTAGGGCTTACGGCTTTGCGACTTGCATGGCCAATACAGCGGCGCAAGGTTCAATCCGGTTCAATGTGGACCCCTGATTGAAATCCTCTAGTTTCGGGTTTAGGGTTTAGGGGGACCCCCACCCCTATAATAGTGGTATAATTGGAATATACGAGATCCTTAACATAATCCTTATTATCCCCTATAGTCACTATTACAGGGTGGGGGCTCCACTAATGTTCACCCCTGATTGATAACCCCCTCCCCTTAAAAGGGATTATGATAGGGATCCCTACATTATGGCCCTAAAAAGAGGAGGTTTGTTGATCATGGGTCTACAGTAGGGTCTAGGGGAAGAGTTGCTCCAGAGCTTCTCCAGCAACCTGGCGAGCATAAAATCTGATCCAGCGGAGCCATGATCCCCATGCGACCCATGTGGGACTCGGCCTACACTACTTTTCCCAAAACGGGGATATTGCCTTAAGGATCCGGCCTGTATTGAGAACCCACTACAGGGACCCGTACCATCATGACTTTACGCAAATCCCGGATAACGAGAGCACCATCGTGAATAACCCTGAACGCGCGTTGGTGCCTTGTTCTTGACCAGGCCTTTTATCATCCTTCGGCAGTTGGGGCTCTCTTTGCAGGAAGAAACAACTTTCTCGCACCCATCCCAAAATTCAGCGATCCTAAGATGACATTTTGGGTCTGGACGTAGTGCGTCTGACAGCTTTAGGGATAAGTGGCCGCAAGAAGCCATAGAATCCTTTGTCGAGGGACATGGCCCAAAAATCCTCAGCATCATGACGGGCTCTTGCTGAAGAGACTGCATGAGCAGAAGTAAAACATGCCGGCTTCTCCAAATTGAGGGACTCAAGGGGCCCCTAGGATGTGCTGGATTGCAAGAGGATTGCTAAGGTTTGAGGAACTCTCAGAGGAATGGTTAATCTTTGTACTTTGGACAGCAGGAGCCAGGCAGGAGCCATCTTAAGCTAGCTACACTGCTACACTCTTGCACACTACATACCCATCATATACACCCTGTGAGATGCAGAAAGAAGCTGGGCAAATTAAATTCGCAATCCTGAATTGTGGCCCGGTCGGGTATATTCTTAGCAGTAACGAAAACCCATGGGGGGTGAGCTCGTTTCAGCTCAATATCATTTGCCAAGAAAACCCGTTTCTTCAGTTTCTATCTTCGCACTCTCTCAGCGCTCGGGCCCAACATGGTACTTCTAGAAACCTTGAGGTCCACCGCTTCAAAGTGGACCATGATTTCTGAAAGCTGCCACAAGGCTCCCCTCAGACCGTAAACCCTAAACCCCTAAACCCTGAACCCTATGGCCCCTCATCAGGCATCCACTTTCCCAATCTCAGAACCTCCGTGGCGGTAAACGTCCCTAAGCTGTGAACCCGAATCCTGAAACCGACGCTCCAGAAAAACGAAACCCCAAAAGGTGAAACTGCACAGAACCGCAACGCCTAAACTAAACCTTATGAGTCCCTATTTCATGAAATCTTACTCCCTAAGCGCCACTCCCCGGAACCGTAGTTCCATTTTCTTCCGCATTCCACTATGTACATGACCCTGTTGTCTTGTATCCCTTACTAAACCCCCTAAACCCTAAACCCCTTAACCCTAAACCCCTAAACCCATAGCTCCTCAACGCCTTGAGCCGGATCTCGGGCGCTCCCGAGAGCTCGAGCCCAGCTCGAACCCTCTCAGGCGACAGACTCATGCAGACGTAGGTTTAGGGTTTAGGATTTAGGGTTTAAGGGTTTAGGGTTTAGGGTTTAAGGGTTTAAGGGTTTAGGGGCAAACTTAGGGCTGCCGTTTACGTCCTGGTTGTCAGTAGGGAATGTGCGGAAATATATAATGCACGGATCGTTTATGGGTTATATTCCTTTGTTCCCTACTAAGAACCAGTAAGTTTTGGGCAGGTGCATCGCACAGCAGGCATGGTTTTCAGGTTCCAGAGTC